GCCGGCCACCGGCCGCCGCCCAGCGATGGAGCCGGACAACAGCCCGCGGAAGATCCAGTTCACCGTCCCGCTGCTGGAGCCGCACCTTGACCCGGAGGCGGCCGAGCAGGTGCGGAGCAGGGAGGGCGGCGGGGGACTCGCCCAGCCAAGGACGAGGGACCCCTGCACTGTAGGACCGAGGTACCCGCGTGGTCTTCCCTTGGCGGTGCGCCTCTAAGGGCGGATGCGCTCAGTTTGGGGGCTTCTGTCCCCTCCCCCACCGTCGGAGCCACCCGTCCCTATCCTGGCTTCTTCAAGATGGACTGAAGGACGAGCGCCGCCCCTGGACGCCTGTCCCCTCGAGAGTCGCTCCCTGCCTCCCCAGCCCTGGGGGAGGGGGTGCCAGAGGACCGACCCCTCCCGCCTTCGCCCGCCTGGCGTCCTGCTCCCGGTCAACCCCGCCAGAGTTTCTGAGCTGGGGGGAGGGGGGGGTACGCAGAAGGGTAACCGCAGCAGCGCGGGAGGGGTGAGGGGAGAGGGTAGTAATGGGGGGAACCTGGTGCCATAGGAATGGAAAGAAGAGAAATAGCCCGCCCAGTCCTCTCCTAACTAGGGGCGACCCTGCCGGATCCCAGAGAGTGAGAACAAGAAGGGGCTGGGGAACACTGAGAGGGCCGGGGCTTTGGGGAGGGGTGGTCCTGTCTGCAGGCTGGGGCTCCCCTTTCTGCAAGTCTGGACACGTGGGCCATTTTTCCCAACTACCGCCCTTTGGAGCGGGGAGTGGGGGTGGCATGGAGAGAATGGCACATGGGAAGCCACAGGCAGGGGCTTTCGACGGATTGGGGTTCAAGTTGAGCGATAGGCAGGGGAGAAGCACTGTGCTGGCCTTGGCTGAAGGGGTGGGAGTCCAGGGCCCAGCCCAGCCTCCTGGCCTGGCCTATTTTTAGCTCAGAGCAGCCTGGCAGAGGCGTCAGCAGCCTATGAGAGTGTGTGAGCAAGTGTATGTCTCAGTGGAGAGGTGACCACCCTTGGTCACCTCTACAGACTGTTCGCCAAATATTTGCTCATTTGCTCATTTCTCCATCTCTTTTGTGTTCTCTGTCCATTTGCCTGGGCATCCCTCTTCCCACAAGGTCAGTTCTCTACTTCCCCCCAACCCCACGCCACCAGGGCTCTGCTGGGCCTCCCCACCTGAAAAAACATTGACCTCTCAGGATGGGCTGAGAGTCTCCTTTCTGTTGATCTATCTGGTTGGTAGAACGAGGTCTGGATGGGAAGGGAACAGGAAGGCACACACTCTCTCCCTATAACTTCAGCTTCCCAAGTGTGGGCAGGGGTTAGGTACCTGGTCTCATCCTCTCCCTGGCCTGGGGAGCCACATCTCCAGACCTCTGAGGTGGGACAGTAGAGGGACTGTGGTGAGACCTCAGAGCTCCTGAGAATGAGGAGGGTGGAGAGCCTGGAGCGTGGGGCGCTTTCCCTGGGGTCAGGGAAAGGTTATTATGCCTGCAGGCAGGGGACTGGCAAAGATAACCTCTGACTCAGGAATAAAGCGCTGGAGAGTGTGGAATGTGGGGGTTAGGAGTGAGGTTTCAAGCGGATATGCCTCCTGTTGGCACAAACAGGTATCACTACCTGACACCTGCATCTGTTTGGTGTTAGAGGAGGCAGGTGTAGGTGTGTGTTGGTAGGGGAGGGGGGGCGCACCCTGGTTCAGGGGTCTAGGGACACGGGAGAGGGATAAGGCAGTGCCAAGGAGTCAGAGGGAAAAAAGAGAGCTGGGACTTGAGCCTGCTTTTCTCTAATCTTCAGAAACCTGTCTGCCAAGCCTGAAATCTTACCTGCAGTCTAACCTCAACCCCTCCTGCTGTGTTACCCAAGTGTGTAGGCAAAAAGCTCCAGGTTTGGCAGGAGCTCCTAACCCAGATTGACAAGGGAGGGTAAAAAACCCTCAAAAGATCTGAATTAGGGAGCACAGGGTGGCAGGGGATGGGGGGGTGCCCAGAACTACCAGGTCCTTGGCATGACTGGTTTGGAAATAAATCAGAGGCAAAGGCACCAGGTGTCCTTGAGAGCTAGGATTTGGGATAAGTGCAAGAAAGAGAAAAAAGCATAGTTCAGGTGTCCGGGAGGTGCTTTGGGAAGTCTGACTTCATTCCCTCACAATTCTCAAGGACACTGAGTGCTTAGAAATCTGTCCAAGGCAAGGAAATTGGCTAAGGAAGGGATCTGTGCAAGATCACAGAGCCCTGCTGCCCTTTCAAAGGCCTTTTCTGTCATACTTGGAGTCTCCTTCTCAGGCTCCCAACTCCCACTAATCCACACCCTACCTTCTCCCTGTCTCTTTTACAGCCAGGCCCCTCCCCCAGAGCAGGAAAGGGAGAGGAGTGCCCTCCCAGGAGAAGGATGGCCCCCACCCACATATATGAGGCACACACGCCTGCCTGCTGGCACCCAGCACATTTGCACCAGAAATAGCTAGAGTCGGACTCAGCTAATGTTTGTGCAATGCATGCATGTACCCATGCACACACACATGCACACACACACAGGACTGCTAGTGCCAAGGACCTTGAAATTACACCAGAAACAGGTGCTGCTGGGTTCTCCTGAGAAACATGCCCTACCTCTACATACTCCCATTCCATGGGTCCCATCTCTTCTCTGGGGAGAGTCAGCCTCTCAGACTGATACTGCCCCTCTTACTATGGCTGGTACCCATTTTCTGGGCATAGAGAAGGGCAGGCATCTTACCACTTTACCCCCAATGGTAATGATACGAAATAATGGACACACAGATAGGAATTTGATCATTCAGTGTCCTCACCCTACTCCTGTTAGTCCTGAATAATTTTAGCCTCTTTCCCGGTCCCATTAACCTTCCCTCCCTTCTGCTGCCCTGTTGGAGTCCCTGTTGGAGTCTACAGGGACTCCAACCCCACCTTTTCCCTCACTTCCAAGCCCCTAACCCCCCCAGAGAAAAGGAAAAAACTACATGTCCCAATAGTCCTTGGACCATCTTCAACAACAATCAACTTTATTGGCAGCAAGACAAAAGAACAGCAATGGGAAAGGGGATTCAGAAGCCCAGCAATCGGCTCTTTACATGTTAATTTCTTAGAATGGGATCCTGAGCCTAGGATAAGATTTTTCAGCTAAACTGTAGGTTCTGACCAGGGTCCTGCCTAGGACTCCTCCTCATTTATAGTTACCATGACAAGGATTTTCACAAACCATATTTCCTGACAAATTAGAAAGGCAGAGTATCCAAGGATAGGGAGAACATTAGGGAGTGAGGGGCACAGGCCAGGGGAATGCACATTCAGACCTACCTTTTCTGTGCTGTCCTCCCAAGCTGGGTGGGGATGGAGGGGTGCTCTCTTCAGGTGCTGGTCCACAAAGGGTTAATGTCTGTTTGAGGGGTGGGCTGGGAGACTGAGGGAAGAGCCTTGTACCTCTATGGTTATTTCTGACCATTGATCCAGGATGGACGGAAGGACAGCAGGCCAGAGATCGATGCATTGGAGCAGATATAACTGCTGAGATGGGGAGGAAGGGCCAGGACTGGGGGGATGCAGAGACAGAAAGGGGATAGGGGATGCAGAAAGTGGGCGTGGTCTTTTGGATCCCCAGGGGAGAGGGATGGACCCAAGAAAGTCCACCCTGGGACAGCAGGTTCGGTGTAACATGACATTTTTTTAGGTATGCTAACTGGCTGACCTGGATTATGTTGCTGAGTGGTGTTGGGTGGGGCTTTGATGCCTTGTACTTGACCTCTTCCTTCAGATTCGGAGGCGTCGGCCCACCCCTGCCACCCTTGTGCTGACCAGTGACCAGTCATCCCCAGGTAAACCCAGGAATGGGGGCTGCTGAAGGCAGCTGGGTCGGTGAGAGAAGGTGGGTGCTCGATAGAAGGGCAGATCTGAGAAATCAGAGATCTCTTCAACCCTGGAAGCAGAAAAGTGGTGGCTGGATTAGCAGGAGGATTTCCTTTGCTCTGGGCAGGCAGAGCAGTGCTAGGAAGGGCAGGGAGACCACCTGGTTCCTAAGCCCCTCAGGAATTGCGGTGGTCAACTGAGTGCTGGTTGCTTCGCAACAGCTTCCAGGTTTCTCCAGCAACTGAGAGGCTGCTGCCCCACCCCTGGAGGCAGTGACAGCTGTGAGGGGGAGGGACCGCCTCCAGCAGCTATCTCCACAGCCCCCAGAGGGGAGAGGGAAGGTTAGAAAAAGCTCAGGGCGCAGCTGGCATTCTGGTCACCAGTGTCCCCATCAAGGTCTGGGGAGAGAGCAAGGTCTCAGGGAATGTCATGGGGAGCTTGATGGGAGAGTAGAAGAGAGGTGGTCATGCTTATAAGCTAGCAGGGAGTTCAGGATGCCTGAGTCTCCAGCTCTCCTCCAGCTAGGAGAATGATTGTACCTTCTTGGCCCCTGCACAGGATACGTTTGCTATTCCTTTTCCGATGTTCCCTCCTATGCAGGGTTCAGTTCTAGACCTGGGGTAGGGGAGATGGATAGAAGGAGAAAGAGATATGGATACTTCAGAGGGAGGAAAAGAGCAAAGGGACCACAAATCCTGGAACCTCCAGGTCTGAGGCAAGGATGTAGACACATAAACCTGTAGGGTCAAGGACAGGATTAGATGCAGGGGTAAAGCCAGCCTTGAGAGCAGGAGGAAGCTGGAGGGAGTAGGCCTGGGGCAGCCACCAGGACTGACTTCTTAAGGGCAGATGTGAGGGACACATCAGGAAGGAGGTGACTGCAGAGGCTCCTCTCCTTGGAAGTTAGCTCTGTGGGGACCCCCTGGGTTTCCCAGCCTCATCACTTTCTCCTTTCCCTGTTCCCCTCAGAGATAGATGAAGACCGGATCCCTAACCCCCTTCTCAAGGTGAGCTGACCCCTCCATTCAGCCGAGCCCAGGAAACCCACTGACTCATTAGGGGATTATTCCTCAGAACCCTCCACCTGCAGAGCCTTTGACTCCCTCTTCCCTGCACACCCCAAATGTGCAGTGGACATACACACATCCCCCAGAATGTCCAACACATAGTCTCCTTGCTCACCATTGTGGGGGCTGGAGAAGCAGGAATTTCCTTCCCCCACTTTCCGAAGTCCACACCTACCCCCAACTGCAATCCAAAAGCATGGCGAGGCAGAGGAGGCCAGTGAGCGGGCTGGCACTCACCTGTGTTCTGTCCTTCACAGTCCACTTTGTCCATGTCTCCACGGCAACGGAAGAAGGTGACGAGGACCACACCTACAATGAAAGGTTTGGAAGATCCTTCCCATCTTTCTCTTTTTTTCGCAATTTTATTTTTCCCCTTTATTTTATTTTCTTTTTTCCATCACCATTTATCCCCCATATACCTCCACCCACCCTCCTCCCCCATCTCTTTCTTCCCCTCTGTGCCTGAGGCTGTACAATTGACCTAATGCCCCTTGGAAAGGAATCCTTGAGAAGTCATTAAGTCTGTCATTATTACAGTGGGGTAGCTGAGAGGCCTTGGAGAACCTTCCTAACCTACTGAGCCCCGAATACTACCTCACTAGGGCAGTTAAGTTAAAGAAAATATGTGAACTCACCCAGCATAGTGCGCAGCGCATAGAAGTTACTCAATTTTTTTTGTTTTAAATCCTCACTCGAGGATATCTTTTCCATTGCTTTTCAGGGAGGGAGAGAGAGACAGGTGGATTTGAGAGAGAGACATCAACTGGTTGTCTCCCACATGCGCTGACCTGGGCCGAGCCTGCAACTGAAATACGTCCCCTCGGCCAGAATCAAACCTGAGACCCTTCAGTCCAAGGGCTGACTCTCTAACAACTGAGCCAAATTGGCTAGGACTCAAATTTTTTTTTTTAATTACAGTTGACATTCAATATTATTTTATATTGGTTTCAGGTATACAGCATAGTGGTTAAACATGTATATAATTTACGAAGTGACCCCCCCATAAGTCCAGTACCCACCTGGCACCATGCATAGTTATTACAATGTTATTGACTATGTCCCTGTGCTGTATTTTACTTTCCCATGACTATTTTGTAACTACCAAATTGTCCTTCTCGATCCCTTCACCTTTTTCATCCAGCCCCCAAACGTCCTCTATCTGGCAACCATCAGTTTGTTCTCTGTGTCTATAAGTATGTTTCTATTTTGTTTGTTTGTTTATTTCTTTTGTTCTTTAGGTTCCATGTATAAGTGAAATCTTGTGCTATTTGTCTTTATCTGTCTGACTTATTTCACTTAGCATAATAATGGTAAGATTTCATCCGTTTTTATGGCCAAGTAATATTCCAGTGTATATATATGTAACACACCTTCTTTATCCAATCATCTATTGCTGGGCACTTAAATTGCTTCCATATCTTGGCTATTGTAAATAATGCTGCAGTCAACAAAGGGGTGCATATATCTTTTCAAATTAGTATTTTGGATTTCTTCAGATCAATACCCAGAAGTGAAATCTCCAGGCCATAGGCAGTTTCATATTTAATTTTTTGAGGACCCTCCCTACTGTTTTCCATGGTGGCTGCACCAGTCTGCACTCCCACCAGCTGTGCAGGAGGGTGCCCTTTTCCCCACATCCTCCCCAACACTCGTCGTTGGTGGGTTTATTGATCATAGCCACTTTGACAGGTGTGAGGTGATATCTCACTGTGGTTTTAATTTGCATTTTTCTGATGATTAGTGGCATTTAACATCTTTTCATGGGTCTATTGGCCACCTGTATGTCCTTTTTGGTGAAGTGTCTATTCAGGTCCTCTGCCCATTTTTTAATTGTATTGTTTGGGGGTTGTTTTTGGTGTTTAGTTGTATGAATTCTTTATAAATGTTGGATAGTGACCCCTTATTGTATATATCATTGGAGAATATCTTCTCCCATTCAGTAGGTTGTCTTTTCATTTTGTTGATGGCTTCCTCCACTGTGCAAAAACTTTTAGTTTGATGTAGTCCCATTTGTTTATTTTTTTCTTTTGTTTCTCTTGCCAGAGGAGATATATCAGAAAAAATATTACTAAGAGCAATGTCAGAGAGTTTACTACCTATGTTTTCTTCTAGTTTTATGGTTTTGGGTCTTACATTTAAGTCTTTAATCCATTTTGAGTTTATTCTTTTATATGGTGAAAGAAGGTGATCTAGTTTTGTTTTTTTGCATGTGTCTGTCCAGTTTTCCCAACACCATTTATTGAATAGACTGTCTTTACCCCGCTGTATGTTCTTGCCTCCTTTGTCATAGATTAATTGACCATATAGAAGTGAGTTTATTTCTGGGCTCTCTATTCTGTTCCATGGCCTATGTGTCTCTTTTTATGCCAGGACCATGCTGCTTTGATTTCAAATATTTCTTGACTCTAATTTGAGTCTTTTCTCCTGCTCCCAAGGGAGACCAAGTATCCCAGCAAGTTAGGAGGATCTTTTGTTCTTAAAGGCTCTTCCCTACACCCTTCTTACCTTTTTAAAAATATGTTTTTGTTGATTTAAGAGAGGAAGGGAGAGGGAGAGAAACATCTATTGGTTGCCTGATCGGTTGCCTCCTCTATGCATCCCGACCAAGAATTGAACCCGTAACTGGGGTATGTGCCTGACCTGGAATCAAACTGGCGACCCTTTAGTACATGGAATAATGCTCAACCAACCGAGCCACACTGGCCAGGGCACCTTTCCTACCTTTGAAGGAAATACGTTTTATTGTCCAGCTCTAGTCCCTCCTAATTGCCTGGCAAATGTCCCTCCTTGTTCAGATCTCAGGGGATGGGAAAGTCAAACCACACTGGCAGTGTGTGATGGCCATTTAGTGGGGCTGTTGAAGTTAAGGGTCCGCAGAGGAGGCTCTGGGCAGTCATGTCCAATGTTCTCTCCCTTTCTCTGTACCCCTAGAGCTCCAGATGATGGTTGAACATCACCTGGGGCAACAGCAGCAGGGAGAGGAGCCTGAGGGAGCCGCTGAGAGCACAGGGACCCAGGAGACCTGCCCACGTGGGGCTACAGACACAGAAGCGGAGTCAAGGCTGAGCACCTCTGGGAAAGCACAAAGTACGTCCAAGCTGCAAGCTGCGGAGGGACCAGGCTGGGAAGGGACCAGCCTGGGAGGAGGCCAGCTTTGCTTTTGTGGGGAGGGGTCTTGTAGCAGCCAGAAACTGTCTTCAGAATATGGCTATATCTGCACCTAGTGCGTGTATTTGCATCTTTTCACTTTTCCTGACTGAATGATCCCAGCCCCTCCCAACTGGCCTTCAGAGCTCCCAGTAGTGGTCGTATGGGGGGAGCCCAGCAGAATGGGAACAGCACTCACAGGCTAGAATCCTGGCTCTGCCCTTTTCCCAGCTCAGAGGCCTTGAGCAACTTACTTACCTCAGTCTACAAAGTGGTAATGATGGTGCCCACTTCACTGGGTTGTTTGTGAAAATTAAGTGAAACTTCCCAGTAGCTGATACATACAAAGCATATAATAAATGGAAACTGCTAGAGGTGTTGTTAATACATCTCCATAGTCCCTTATCCCAATTATTCCAGAAGCCAGAATTTTTCCAATTTTATGGCGATACAGTATGTATGCTGTATATTACATCACACCCCCAGCAGTGCACCCTGTAATCAAACACATTGCTATTTCTACAGTGAAATGAACTGTCCCCCTAAGTGGGATAAATAGACTATAAGTAGCTTCATATCAGTTCAGGTCAGATTTAGCCACACATTGAGATTGTACCCAAATTTGAAAACTTTCGTTGGAGGGTGTGTTTTTTTAGATTTCTGATTACAGAGAAAAAAAAAATTTAATGTAGTGATTCTCTAGTAGGAATTATGATCAGAGAAAACCCCATTGGTCTTGCCCAATTGCCCCAGGTCTTGGATCCTCTCAGGGGTCATTGGAGTATGGGGTGGGGTGCGCAGCAGCACTGCCCTCTCTACAAGCCCTGATGAATACCACCTCTCCTCCCACCCCCCATTTTCCCTCCTTAGAGCCTTCAGAATCCACCCCAAAAACTCAGGAGAGGAGCAGTGAGAAACCTAGCACAGAGGAACCCTCAGCCCGTATACCGCCACTGGATTCCCAGGGAGCCAACTCGGTAAGGCTGCAGGTCTACAGGAGAGCAGGCTGTGTGGATAAAGGCGAGGGCTAAGATCTGGACTCAGGGAAGGGGGGAAAAGCACCAGCTTTAGTCACTGAAGAGTTATTCTCTATGACAAGAGGATGGACAAAGGAGAATCTGCAGTAGCAGGGATTGAGGTTAGACTCTGAGTTAGGACTTCTGGCTCCTGGAAGAGGTGATGGAAATAGACCATGGGTTTTCTGATAAAGGGCATTTGGAACCCAAAAGGAGATCCCCACCTATCCAGGCTGGATGAGCAGTGGCCCTGCCTGGAGTGAAGGCATTAATGAAGTAACCTTGTGAGCTTCAATTTGACAGTCTCCATCCCCCCCCACCCCC